TTTCTTCATAGATATCTCTCCTTAGGTTTTCTCTACACAATAGTGAAAACCGCAAGGCCTCTATCTCATTCCTATTAAAAATTATTGAAAATACAATGGCTTGCATTCTATTTTGAAAATGGATAGTAGTTCCGCTTTCGGTGTGTTATCGTAACTCTAACATTTTCTAATTATTCATTAGTCTTCTGTTAAACCGATATCTTTGTTGTTTTTTATTCTTTTCCACTGCTAATATCTATACTGTTTGTGAGACAGAATATTACAGTAAGAATACACACTTTAACTGATTATTTACACCTTGAAACCATTATATTTAAAAGTGATTTCCTTTTGAAAAATAAAACATGTTTTACAGTACCAGTGATCGACTTTCTTGCAAAATTCGTGTTTCTTGTCATTTCAGACAAGATTCTTAAAATTTTCATCCCTTTTTTTCACAAAATACTTGACTGAATTGGCAAGATTGACGGATGATGTAATCACCTATGTATTTTGTAAATATCTATGCTACGTGATGCAGATTATAATTTATATTATAAGTATATGAAGAAAATTTCCATTTCCAGTAAGATTCTTGTCATAATTGAGTCGTTACATCACATACGCTGTTCTTGCATACGAAAGAGAATAAATTGACTATTTTTATAATTAAAAGCCTCTTGCGAGAAAATTGATAGCTATGTAAAATTACAAAATTCTTCTTTAGAATCACTAGAGATAAAAAAAGTTATCATGATTAATAAGAAAATGAACCAGTTAATATGTTTGCAGGAAGAAAAAACGAAAAGAATGTTGACAACAAACGATAAAGGGAATAAAAAGGAAGAAACATATATGTCTACTTGTGCAATTTGCGCTGCCGTTCCGTTTCCGTGAAAAAACCGTGTAAAACTAGAATGCAATTGTACTGCGCACAAGTTGCGATGCCGACAGACACTGCATTCTGGTTATTACTCCGTGACTAGTTTGAACCTTATGGTACTAATCCCAATCAGTTTGAAGTAAACGAGCAGTCAATGATCAATATTCAGTGTCTAGAAAGTACTCTCAGTTTTCAAAATTTTTTACGACGCGTAGTTTATTGCGTTCATATTTCGCAGAAAAAAATGACCGTTCAAAAAATAAAAAACAAAATTCCCTGCAAAAACTCATAATGTCTGTCGATATGATAAACTGTCTTATGGACTTTTTTTGTTGACTATCTCAGTAAATTCTGATGGCCCAAGCGATGATAAAAAAAAACAATTTTCCTGACTGCTACTTTTATTTTTTCTTAGAAAACGGGTTTTCGCTACGAAAAGCATAATCCCCCAGCCGATTGCGATAAAGACGACATAAAATGGCCTTGAAAATTTTGTTCTAATACATCAATCAATAGAACTCGATGAGACCTCTCTAATGATGTGCGATTCAATGCGTTCTATTGCCAGTGACAGCTTCTTTTGTGCAAACTTCCGAGAAAATATATCATTCAAGATTCTTCACCTTGAAAGAAAGAAGTACTACGTTACAAGGCTACCAGATGTAATTGACTTGATTTGTATATTCAAGCTTTATCAAATTGTTTACGATACAGTTAAATTTAGTGTATTTTTTATGGAAGCATGACGGGTTTAATCTTACAGAACATTGTGAACTGAAAAAATCTAGCGGGAAATTTTTCTAGTAAAATTCATTTTTCTCAGGAATAACAACATATTTTGAGGCGCAGAGGTGGACATATGCTGTACATCGCGAAGAGAAAAGAGAATAAAAGAATCTCTGCGAAAAGTTGAGTATTAACGAACATATTAGAAATACAAAATTGAAAATCTCACGAAACATTTAGTGCGTGAAGCTTGTGTTCAGAAAAAGTGACTGTTACTTTTTACAGTAATGAGAGCATTGACCTTTTATTTCTTTTTACTAAAATGATTCTCAGTCTGTGGGTTATCTTTTGGCTATTTTTGATAAAGATTGCCTTTAGTTTAAGCTGAAATGTGCAACCCATGGAAAAACAACCTAGTTTTTGGGTCATTTGTCTAGATTCAGGTACACGTGCAAAAAATTGGGTCGTTTTTGCATGGAAATATTGAATCTCACGGGACAGAAAAAGATCACAGTGTCTGTAACAGCATTATTTTGATTTTATTTGTATAGAAAATTGAATTAAACCGTTAATTCATTTACATATTTCAAGCGAGTTCGTCTTCAGCTGCAAATTATTCCTAAGAAAAAGGATTAGAACTTATTCCATCGTGACAAAAAAAAATTATTTTTCAATGGAAGAGGGCACCAAAAACCTTGGCGTGCGACAATGTAACTGTTATATTGCAGTAATAAAAGCAACTAGTAAGCAAATGTTAGCCAAATAAAATAAAAAGAATTCAAAAAGATCCGTTCAGTAGAAAAAAAGTTGTTGCATTTTTACTTCTTAGATAGCAGCGCGTCTCGCACAAATATACGTGCAGGTGTAGCCACTTTATTTACTCAGTCCCGTCCATTTAACATAGGTCTACTATAGAATTAAAAGTTTTGACGATTGGAGAAAGAATCGTACGATCATCTTACCATGCTACCTATTTTCCTATAAAGGATCTTTGATTCAAAAGAACTTTAGCACTGTTCGCAGAAGTATTTTCTGCAATTATTAAGTAGAATAAAATTCTTTTTTAATTCATCAAGAATATTGAAATCTGCATCTTCTGAGCAGGAACACATTTGAATAGATAGTTGAACGCTGTTAATACTAATTTTCTATTTTAATTACTTTCATCTATACATTCTATTATGAGAGGTTGGTTATATACTCGTATCATATTTAAGACAATAAGATAATTAGTTAAAATATGTGCAAACATGATTTCAAAGGTTACATATACTATACTGAACAGTTTCTAACAAGGCTAATACCGTATAAAAATTGCATACAAATCATTGATATAAAAATAAATATAAAACGATAATGAAAGATACGAATAAGTCAATGTCGCAACAATATTCTATTTCTAAAGTTCAGTTGATCATGCATGCATCACGCATTAAGCAGCAAAGTCACATATGTCGATTGTGTCTACTACGTCGTTTTTCTTTTACAATAATTATATATGTTATACGAACTACTTACTATTGTATCATTCTTTATCTCGTTTAATGCCCATTCAATCGTTTACTATTCACCAATGCTCAACATATGGTGAAAACTATTTAGTTCAACGTTTATTTTTTCCTTCGAATCGTGAGTAGGCATTCGGTTATTCATTCACTAAATAACCAGAACCAGAGACAAATTGCTTCGTCATTTTATTAAAAACATTGTTTTAGTAATAGGGCAAGTAACACTGTGCTTAGTCACAGTAATATCACAAACTCAAATGTAGAATAAGTTAATAATGATTACAACACATTTTTTGTCGAAGACTTTTTATGAAGTGTAGAATTGAGCAATTTTGAATTCAAAGTTGTGGAATGATAATTATGTACATTTGAATATCTACAGAGTTATAGGCTTTGTCAGGAAAGAGCAGCGTTGTCAACTCTTCTGATTTTTACTACAGAAGATGATTTCTAGAAAAAGGTTGACGTAATGCATCCACGTCGCTGGCAGCTTCCTTCAAATAAAATTTAAGTTAGATTTTTTCTATAAGCCATACGGAACAGAGAAAGAAAAAGAGAATTAAAATAAGGTTAATTCAAAGAAAATTAAGCTATAATCGTTTCTTTTGTTTAATTTACTTTCGGATTTTCAGAATGCTTCTTCTGATTTCTTAACCTTCTGAGTAAACAGCGAGCAAACTCTTATCTATTCAAAGTTTGTATGCTAGACATTGTTAATGTGACATATTTACCATTTAATCTTAATCTATTTATATTAGATTATTGACTATATGTATCTTTTTTTTGCCAGATTTACTCTAGGTAACTGCTTCAATATTTTTAGAAAAAAAACAGTTATTATGCAAGTCTATGGTCAAACTGACATATATGTTTACTGAATAATGACTGGTTATTTTCTAGAGATAACATACGCACACCATACACATGATCATTCTTCTATGACTGCAATGTCAAGTTGACTACTGGAGATGTGTACACGTTTCGTTCTGTTGAATATATAAATACGCACGACATGCACGTTCTACTTTCAATACATAAATGAAAAATAGACAAAACAAACGTAAATGTTTTTAACCTATACTAGAGCAAATCAATTCTTCAATAACAAGAGTTAATTAACGTAAGTAGTTTACAAGTTAGCATGTTGCAAGTTTATAAGTATCGTTTCTGGACGTATATCTTCGAAAGTAGGACTTTAATCTTAATTTAATACTGTTAGAAGCTCCTTCAACTATTTAATCTAATATTTTTTTGAACGTACATTAGAGTGCCTATAGAACTCAAAAGTTTTTAGTATCCAGGTTTCAGTTAGGCTGAAGTTTTTTTGTTAATCTTAAGGTTTCAGCATCTTCACATCTATTACAAATGCTCGTAGCCATTACTTTTCTTTGATTGATGACTGATCGCAATTGCAAGGATTGTAACATCATTCGTTTTCCAACTTTTTGCTCAAGGTAAATATGTGACGATAAGGGTACTGCTCAACACTGAGATTGCTGAAAGAAAGAAATTAGCAACTGTTGTGCAAGAATGTTAATATCTTTTTGTAAATCAAATTTACTACCCATAGAGATACTTTGTTTTATTCCTTTTGAGTATTCTTAAATAGGGCCAAGAGCTTCTTCTCATTCATACAATCGTTTCGTCATCAGCTGTTGTTCAAATAGACTATGCGAGAAAGAAAGAAAGAAAAAGAATGAAGAAAAGAAAAATGAAAAAGAGAACAATGGTGTTAGAGTCACCCAGTGTGTGAATGACCGTATAGAGAGTGTTGATGTTTGCTTATTGATACGAAAAATTTTCATGTGTGATAAATTTTGAAAAAGTGAACTTTGAAATACAAAACATACACATTACAGATTGAAATCATCATGTTCTTCTTGTAAAAACAGAAAGAATAAAAAATGACTGGTAATAAAGTAAGTGACCAGTTGTTCGATGGTAATATATGACTTCAAGATATATAATAGAGGGCACTGTTATATGTCTCTCTTCGCTGATAACAAATTATTGAGTTTAAGGTTCTCGTTGTTTATAAGGCTTCTATTTGATTGCAATAATTGTTATGTTTGCTCTCTGAAGCTAGTCTAAGAGAATCTGAAATGTAGTACGAAACCAAATAATCACAGACAAGTCACAAACATTCAAGATAAACGTTATAATTCTGCCACTAAAATTTTCATGAAGTTCTTTTCTACGCCGATCATAAGAATGTTAAATTTTAATTCTTTTCACACAAGATATGTATCAATATTTCTTTTCTTTTCATTTCTTCTTTTCGCATGCACATTATAATCGTAATCAATGACATACTAATTGACATATCTATACAATATCAAACACCTATGCAAATATCTTCATTGAAAATAGATAAAAATAGTAATTGCATTTTATTTATTCTCTCTTCACATCTTTCTTTTCATATTGTTGATCTACGTACACTTTTATTTTCTTTAGTTAGAACTGTATCTTAACAATTAGGATAACTGTCTAAGTTTCACCAGAGATAATTAGTGAACAGTGTTAGCCTATTTGCATCGTTCCACAGTTTGAATAATTCTTGTTTTTTTTCTAGCGCATTTCATGAAGATCGCAATTGATTCGTTGCTGGCAGTATTGGATGCCAGCACAAGCTTTTGCTACTGGCTATTAGGAAGAAACTTATTACAAGAAGAAGAACAACTAATCAAAAATGTTTTCAACAGTAAATGAGTCCTTCATTAATCAGAAAAAACTAAACGACTAAATTATTTATCATTTTTTTAGCCAAAAATCGACATGACGAATGTCGTTTGGTTAGTGTTATCAAATCATTATCTATTGGTAAAGATTTGTTGCTGGTATGTAACGATGAACACTTCAATCTTGTTCAATGGTGTGTTTTGAATGACTATTTACAAGCGCTAGAGTTGCTATTAGAATACGGTTGTAATCCTAATCGAGGTTCATCTTCAACACCAACAGCCACTGTTGTTGATTTACCATTAGCATTGGCATGCTGTTTTCAAAGAATGGATGCCGCACGCCTATTACTACTTTACGGTGGCAACCCAAAACAATCGACCTGTATATCCAAATACACACTTAGACGTTTGTCAAAAATGAAAAAATTACATCATATTCAAATCGTCAATCTCCTACAAAAACAACATGATGAGGCGGTGACACCATTGAAAATCATTTTTACGTTCGATGATTTGCACATGTTCAAGGTTTTTTTTGGTGAAACAAGATCACCCTCAAATTCTATCACATCAATTGGAACATTTACATTGAATGAGACTACTAATAATACAACAGAAGAGATTTTTAATTCATTTCAATCGGTAGACAATCTAACAACAATGACGACGACCACCACTACGAAAACTGTAATAAAACAACAAGATAATTTTGAACAGGACAATAATGACGTTTACAGTGATACGATAACACCGCATAATTTAAAATCACCTGACTACGATTATTATCTCGATGACGAAAACAGTGCAGATGAGAAAGGTGTTTATATTAGCGACGAAGAAGACGATGATAGCAAAGAATTGGATAGTGAGCAGTTGTTATTCTCAAAGCTAAATTTATATTTGGACACGAATAGTACTAATAGAAAACAAGAAAATGATATATTTATAACATCAAGCAGTAGTTACGAGTCTACAAAGGTAAGCTCAATTTCATATTTTGAGTAACTTCTTCCAATTCAGAGAGAAGAATAATGAATGAAAGTTTATATGGAAGAAATAAATCGAACGTAGGATAAATTTAATACCCTAGCCGGGATTGCCACTCAGATTTCTAATTATTGATAAGTCGTCGTATGTGGTTTGGTTCTTATAGACGTGAATCTAACGAGTGCTCCAGGAAAAACGGGTCACTTTTGTTCATTGTTTTTGAGGGTAAGTCTAGTAGTCCCAAGAGTTCATTTTAGGCTCAATCGACAGAGAATTGAATTCTGTACAAAACCTGCTATTTAAATTTCTGATAGCATTCTTTAGGTTTGACCACTATTCAAAATATTGAATGGTGCTGAATTGTCGAACTGCGACACATTGAAAATAGAAAAATATTTACATTAATCCACAAATAGATTCCATAAGAAATTTTAAAAATATCGGAAGATTCCCTGGAAAATTCTGGATCTTCGCACATATTTTTTGAAATTTTGCAGTTAAGTCGTCTAGGAAAATTTCTGTGCAAAAAACTGATAAATCTGAAAAAAACCTAATTTTTGAATCTATTTTTCGCAGACTGTTTTTGACAGTTTTTGGGCTATAAAAGCAGATAAATAAAGTTTCTCAATTGAAACCATTAATTAAAAAATTAATTTAATTTGAAAAAATTGAAAAGCCGGTTTCGATCTAATTATGAGTCTAGCTGGCGTAGCGGAAACAGTATATGAAGTTGTAAATGACTGAGATGGATAGAACACAAAATTCTCTATCTTTCTGCGTAGAAAAATTAACTATTGAATTACAGACAATGGGCTAAAAATAAAAAAAAAGTGACGATAAAAGCACGTCGCAGTTCGACAACTCAGCACCATTCAATAGTTTGAATGGTGGTCAAACAAGAGAAATGTTATCAGAGATTCAAATAGCAGATTTTGTAGAGAATTCCATTCTCTATCGATTGAGCATAGAATGAACTCTGTGGACTGCTTGGTTCATCCTCAAAAATAACAAACAAAAGTGACCCGATTTCTCTGGGCCATTCATTAGTTTCCTCTAGAAAGAGGATTATAGTTTCTAGCTGCAGCTAGAATTAACTTACGAAGTTAGTCCGAAGATCAACGTTTTAAGGTTTAACAATATCTTGCTTTTAAAGTGTAAAATAGAACTACTTGTTTTTCGACAGTGTTATGAGACCATAGACATGATCAAATCACAAGTTTTTTCGGTTACACATCGGCTTCCTTGTGTAAAATCGGATATTTTTGATCACTTTAGTTATGGGCATTGCGTTTGCAAACTGAGCAAAAATCCCAACAAATGCAACAACAGTCTCAATCGTTTATTGATTTGCCCACAAATAAATCAGAAAAGAGTGTGTTCACAATGAAGAACGGCGAGAGAACAACAACAGACGGTGGCTATCAGACAATATCACTGGTGGACGGTTCTATTGATGGTGGTGACTGCACAACAGGCAAAAAGCAAACAACGCTACCTCCCGTGAATTCTACAACACGAGAAAGTAACGATTCGTTATCGTTTCATCAGTTTAAAGATAGCAGTACGATGAGCTTGTGTTCAACAACGAGAGAGAATCACCATATCAAAAGAAAACCAATCAGCCGTGCAGTAAGCCAACAAATTGATAACATACTTCCAACATCATCAGATCATCGTCTATCTTTGCCTGATGGTCTAAAACCACTGCATGAAAGTTCCATTACGTCAACATCATCCTCTTGTTTGTCACTCTCAAATTCCCAAACAAAAACTCCTATATTTCAAACCAAAAATGCCATCAAATTATGTCGTCTATTAAATCAAATGATTGAGTGCGAATCAGAATGTATTCTGGAGCATTTTCTAAAACAAAATCAGCAAGAACTATACGATTATTTTAATACCGATAAAACGAACACAAAACTCAAAACATACGACATATTATCGAATGTTAAATCGGAAAAAATATATAATGTTCTGCTACGTTATTCATTTAAAACAACAATTTGTGATAAAAATAATAACACTTTATTACATCTACTGTTTAAAAACAGACCTTATGATTATGACCCGAAACAACTCAAAATTATCACTGAGAGATATTTGAACAATGGTTTGAAAGAATTTTTAAATCGGCCAAATTTATCGAATGAATACATTGTGCAAATTCTATTACAAAACGACTATTTTTTACAGTTACTATTCTTCTCACAAACGAAAGAATTTGAAAATGATATCACCCATTATTCCCCACTCATGTGTTCAAATAATCGTCATAATAGCACAGGTAAACTTCATTTATTTTCATCATCTATCTGAAAGAGAAAATTTAGGAAACACGAGTAATCTTCTTTTGACTACTATTTTGAAGATATTTCACGAACGATGATACATAGAGTCAAGAAGACTTTTTTGTTATCATGTTCTGACACAGTCAACATTTTGTCAAGATCTGATTCACGTTTATCGAAAGAGATTTCTATCAGGTCGGTCTTAAGATAACTCCATTAAAAATCAAGGGGTCGTTTTTAATAACGTCCTTTAAAACGTAAGATTACTCTAAGTTCTCCACCACGTTCCTGAAAGAGTTATAAGTAGAGACCTGCAGGATCCGGAGTGAAGGAAAGAATTTTACCGGATCGGGATATTTCTTTTTCCAATTTATTAGAACTATGTTTCATTATCACAAAAATAAAAAAAAATAAAAATGTTCGAGATTGAACGGAATCGAGATTTGGATTCAGCCTATGTAATAGGACTGTGATGAGGATTGGAAAAGTTATTTTTTCGGGATCGGGTTTTACCCTACGGGACAAAAAAACTGAATCCCGCACAGAGCCCTAGTTAGAAGTATCCTTATAAAAACCTGAAAAATGAGAAAAAACTTTTATGAGAAGTGAAAGTTGTGCTATTTTTTATTGTAGATAAACACGCACAAGATGTTTTTTGCAAGCAACATCCATATCATTATTTACCGTATTGTGATGTCGACTATATCGAAGAGTGGCGTGAAACATATTTAAATATTATATTATTATTAGTGGAGAGCGGTGCCAGAATTGATATGCCAACGGGACAATATCAAAATAGTATTGACTGTTTATTATCATCTCTAGTTGATTGTATAAAAAAAACACATTCAAATCAACTTGATGTCAAATATTTGAAAAAACTTTTAATAATTCTATATTCTTCACCAAGACCCACTAATCGTCAAATAGCATTGAAATATACTATTGAACGATTTATCCAGTTAATTTGTTATATTCACATAACAAATGGTGAGTTAAATGATACAATGGATATATTTCGTTTATTTTGTCAATATGAACACCAACCGATCAAATTGAATATGAACACAATTCTTCATTTGCTCAAGTCATGGATGATCAATCCAAATTTTCTTTGCTCAAATTTGATGGGAAAATGCTTGTTTATTCAACAACTATTAGTAACTATCGTACGTTTTCATTCTCATGGTGAACAGCTGACAGTCGAAGATCATTTTATTCATCGAAGATCATCCATATCAACAACAGACGTAACTACGATCGAATTTAAAAGACAGTTGCTATATCAAATATTACATTTAATACCTCTCGTTCAAACGTGTGTACAAATCAATTCTATTTATGAGCTTGTTTTAGCTGTCATATATCACGGACTGGACCCGAATAATTTCGATTATGGCTACAGTTTACCAACTTCTGTCTTATGTGTTCTAAAAATCACTAACAAAACTCTGGTAAAACGTTTATTACCATTTATTGATCTATTTTACATCACTCAATCTACATCGAATACTGAGAAATCCATAAATTATATAAGAAAAGCAGTTCCAACAACAAATGAATTGTACCAACATCTCGACAAACTTATCGCAAAACCTTGCACACTGAAACAAGCTACTATGAAATATATCTACATGAATTTGAAAAAACCGTTTGTTGATAGTGTACAGTCTTTGTTATTGAATGAAACGTTAAAACAGCGTTTAATCAGATTTCAACTGTAATATTTTTCTTACAAGGAGTAGTTAGCTTTAGCAACGAATACTTTGTAAATACGACAATCATATCTAAGACTATTGTCAGATTCGACATTTTTTCGTCGTCCGGTTTTTTCCTTTTTTTTATATGCAGTTTTTTTTCCATTCATCCGGATTAGGTGTTAGCCTTTTCAAATATGAGTTCAATGTGATAGAAACAGTTTACAAGAATATCTTTTTTCACGGTGATGAAATTACATAATCATCCCTTATTTTTAACTGCATTGTGATAAACATGAAACGAGTTTTCGGTATTACTGGTAGTTTCTTTTTTCATTTGTTAAGTTAAACGCACGTAAAGTAGATCACTCTCTTCTTTTTTTATTTTTCCTGTTTCAAGCTGATGTGCAATGCGACTCTTTCTTTTTTGCTCGAAGTTAGTCTTCCAACTCTTGCGTAAATGTCAAACACTTTTTAATATAGATTATTGATAAATAAAAAGTCGCCAGTTAGGCATGACACCCATTAAACGAAGGTATTCTCAGAATAGAAATTGAAGGAAGGATCAGCACGAAATACAGGAGAATGTTGGAGAAACGATTCCTTTTATCTTAATCTACAATAACTCAATCGTGAAGAATTCCCAAAGGTCTGAATTTTGGGGGAGTGTACCCTCACCCCCCCGAAAATAAAAGTTTTTCGTTTTCTGTCAGCGGAACTTAAAACATTTGTTGGTTTTTTTGTCACGCAGAGATTTTCTATGACATCCCCGCAAAAAAAAAATTTAGCAACAGAAAACTTTTTACTCCCTCCAAAGTTCACTTCCTGTTCAGGTCCCCTGAGAATTCCACTACGAGAGAGAGAAAATAGGTAAACTATTTTAAGACAGAATCCCCAACAGATGGCTGCTTCTTTCTTGTTTCCAGGCGAAGGATATTCAAGACACTAATATTGTTTTATTTCAGTAGTAAATAAATGAAATCAGATCTACAGCAGCGGTTCTCTTATAGAGTACAAAAAAAGAGGCTACGATACAAAAATATCAATGGCAAAGTCTTTTGAGAAAAACACTGTTGTTACAATACATGATTGAGGAAATATTATTTGCTCATAACAGAGAGGAGAACAAACTGAAGTTGAAACTAGAAATTGTATGGCATTCCACATTACATTGTAACTGAAACACGCAAAAAAGCAAATGACAATTAGTTGATATTATAAAAGTCAATGACTTATTTACCTGAACTCGGAGCCCATTTTTGACATTCTTTCATTGCTTCCCAAAATCCTTGACACTGCGTTGAATCTCCGTTTGATCGTTCGAGGCATTTCATAAATTCTTTTTGCTGCAATTCGCAGTTCGAACGATTTTCAAATGGATTTTGCTGCATCGGTTGTTGCTGTGGATAAAGTGGTTGCGATGATGGACTACTTTCAACTGCTTGTTGTTCACGACCACCTCCAAGTCCTCCTGTAATAGCGGCGCCTAATGTATGACCCTAAAAATTAAATGAATTGACAAACATTGTATTGACGTTTGCACACAAGAAAATACTTACCACTGCTGAGCCAACTGCGACACCACTAAAATATTAAAATACAAATGTTAGATTAGTGATAAAAAATGGAATTCAATATACGTATAGAGATTAGCGTGCATAGTTAGACGCCTTCGTTCCAAACGTACCCAGCCATTGAGGCCATCTGTGCAAACATTCCTGGTTGACGTCCCGGCATTGATGCTGCAGTAACTGGAGCCGGAGCTGTCGGTGGGGCATGAGCGACTTGTGTTGGAGATCTAAACGAAGAAAACAGTGTGTACCTGATAAATGAAAAGTAACAAAAAAAAGTTACCTAGCCGGTGCTCGCGCTGGAGCGGTTCTCATACCACCTCCTGAACGACGTGGCATTATCAGAATTTTAAAGTAAAATTTATGTATTCACGAAGAAATTAAATCTAAAACTAGATCAGAGTTGAAACATACTAAGTGAATACAGAAAACAATATACATTTTGTATCACTCTACAATTCATCTGTTCTCAAAAAACTCAAGCACAGCAACCGTAATAAATACACGTCTCTGCGAATCAATGAAATAAACGAAAGTTATATTACTGTCCTTAACAGAAGGCGGTATTAGCTTTCTTCAGATTATGTAAACAATAGAATCTGTCTGACTAAAGGATGTTTATATATTAAATCAATAACAGCAAAATAGTCTCGAAACACCTTGAATACAAAATCAAACTCCAGAGAACAAATATATGACGTAATTAATCTCAAGAAAGAGAACAAGTAAACTATTCTTGTAAATCCTTCACGCGGAATATAATATAAACAAAACACTGCACGAGTTTTCATCTGAAGCATAGGAATGATTGCGCATGCGAGAATGTTCCAAGTGCACTTTTTCTCTTATTGAAAACAATAAAATCTATAAACGAAACTACAAAGTGGAAAATAGATCAAATTAGTTCTACCAAAAATTTATATATAAGAAGTTCTGGAATTTATATATACCTAATATATATATTCCAGAATATATTAGGAATCTAGCAAATATGAGATCTTTTCTTTTTATGAGTCTTTTCACACAAGATATTCCATATGCGGCATTTTTTCGTCTCGGCGTCTTGATAGAAAAGAAACAGAACAGAAGGATATGCATATGTAACACGAGATATCCCCTTTATTTCCTAGCTTTCTATTAGATTAAATGATATATATAAAGAGAACTGATAAGACAATATGATTGGCTTTGCAATTCGGCCAGATATGTCAGAGAGTCATTTAAGTCATCATTGCAAAACTTTACGTCATAAAAGTGAGTGACCATCAGGGATGCCAACTAAAAAAGAAATAAAGGGGGACAAATCTAGGAAAAAGAGGGACATAAGAGGGACTTTTTCTTCTACAAAGGGGGACAAGATAAAACGCTGAGATAAAGCTTTTTATTTACATTTTCTGAACATTTATTTTTAAAATCGGACATTAATTATCTAAAAGTAATTAGATAAGCAGAAAAACAAGACATTTCGCTCGAGGAAGATAATGAGAATTTGAACTTAAAAACTTTGTACAAAGATGAAAATGTTGTTGTATTCGACTCTTGTTTCATTTCTTACAGTATAGTAAAACTGCGTACAGCGTTATTTTCACTTCTATTTGGAACGTGCATCTTGAAAGGCGTGTACAAAAAAAGACAAAAAAATTATCCTTTTCCTGTTATCGCATAGGTCTATAGGCAGATATCTCTCTCATGCAGACTGTATTTCACATAAGAAAAGGCATTAAATGCTAAAGATCTGTTGAAATGAACGTGTAGTACAGAAGTGAAAAGTGCGTTTAAGACAATCGGAAGAAAATCCTTGAAAAGGGGGACACCCGGGGGGACAGATTTCGCGGGGGACAAATCTTTATATGTGGGATTGTCCCCCTCATGGGGGGACATCTGGCAACCCTGGTGACCATGCCATCCATTTTTCTGTATTGTACATCAGACAAAGTGGATGAATTTCCTTTGTTCAACACTCCTCTAAACTGGGTTACCACATTGTCTTTAATGTGCCCGTTACCCAACCGGTTGTTCGAGGGGTACTTCGAGTACTCGAAAATATGCTTTCGATGGGCCTTCGCCAAGGGTTCAAACCATCGGAAAATGACACTTTGGACTCTCGATATAAGTTTTCGAGGGGTATCGATTTCGAGCCCTCGGATTTCAGATAGGTAGCGAGCCCTCAGAGAAAAATTTTGATCCGTCGAATAGAGGTGTTCGGGACTTCCGAACCCTCGCTCACCCGATGGTGCGACGAGGACTCGGAAGTGCCAAACATCTCTATTCGACGGATCGAAATTTTTCTCTGAGGGCTCGCTACCTATCTGAAATCCGAGGGCTCGAAATCGATACCCCTCGAAAACTTATATCGAGGGTCCGAAGTGTCATTTTCCGAGGATTCGAGCCCTCGGCGAGAGCGTATTTGCGATTACTCGCCGCACTCCTCGAACGACTTTTTTTTTTCGACGAAATTTTTTTCCGAAAATGTTGACTACTTTTGTTAATACGTTCTTACCTTAGGCGTCTAACGTGCAGTGCGTTTCTATCTTTTCGTATACGGCAACGTACAGATACAGTTGCTATGCAAAGAACGTGTCAGAAATGAAAGAGAACGTTGTTTTACTCAAATTATGAGATTCGGTGCCGATAACCAATTTTTAGACGCCGCTGCCGCCTATAGTAAAAACTTCATTCGCCGCCGCCGAAAATTTTTTATCGGCGCACATGTCAGCTAACCGCCCTACAAAAAAATATATTATCGGCACTGCTCTAGAGAACGTACTTGATGCAAGTACCTCATTACTTGCTAAGCACTTGGAAAAACTGGCAAGTGTTTTTAAAATTTCTCACTTGCCAAGTACTTTCAGAAGTACTTCTCAATTATAAAAATACTTGCTTTTATTGCTAAGAGGTGCTTTGTGAAAGTCCTTAGCAAGTAAGGGCTTTTTTATCACCCGAACCCCGAAAAAAGCGTATTTAAAAACCAAAATGGTTTTTGTGTTTGACCGAAAAACTACAAAGTGTTTTTCAGAAAGAGTCGAAGCGCTTTGGTAAAAACCAGGAGAGGTTTTTCCTAAACGCATTTGATTTAGGGAAATATCGTTTTTGGTTTTTCAAGTAGTGAAGGATTCTCCAGTTTGAGCAAAAAAATCAAAAGGGTTTTATGAAAAGAGTTAATTGAACACTTTATATTTCGAAATCCAACAAACAATTTAGCTTAACATCGGTGAGCTCTTATATAGCGATTTCTATATAAAGAAAGAGTGAAAAAGAAAAACTTTTAATACGAGATTTCTCAAAATAAATGTTTCTTAAGGTAACTGACATAATGATTTCAGCACGGTTTTCTCTTCGGGAATATAATGCTTTAATTCTGCTTTAAATAGGTTAGAACCGCTCGCCATTATCTATTTACACGAATACTATACCTATGCTTAGGAAAACATGTTTTCATTGTGGACTTCAGATATAGAATAATATAAGTTCACAAAGTGAATTATTAAGCGACAATAGAGAAACACTTGGATAATATTACCTTGAAAATAGTCCAAGTACTTGCACACTGGACACGTACTTACAAGTAAATTTACGTCTGGAAAAAAGACAAGTACCGGCTTCATTAGCAAGCGAAGTACTTGTCCTAAGTACTTGGGCACAAGTACGTTCTCTAGGGACGGTGATTTTCAATTTCTGTCTATATTAACACCACAGTCTACTTCTAATATTTCGAATGTCATTCTGACTTCATCTTTTTCCTTCTTATAAGAGAAGTGCCGAGGCAATGCCGCATGGTTTTGGCATGTTCATGTGGTACTGATCAGTGCCGTACTCTAATACAAAATTCACTATCAAGAATCGGTGATTTTAATGGCCACGCAGCTAAATGGTGCCCAACGAAACCGTCAATACCTGAGGGCAACCACACTCTAAAAAAAAGTATTTTAAAAAACGCAAAAAGGTTTTTTATTCGACAAAAAGCGTTTAAACGTTTTGATTCCATTCCGAAAACACGAAAATATGGTTTTTAATTGTTGATAAAACCTTTGGATTTCTTACAATATGTTCCGTAACCGTTTTCGAGACAAAATAAAAAACTCAAAACGTATTTCGCCAAATGATAAAGCCTTAAAAAGTTTCTCATTTTCCGAACGAAACCTAAAAAGGCTTTCTAAAAACCATTTCTTAGAATAAATATTAAACGCAAGCCGTTTAATGCTTTCGCGGCTATAGGGTAGCGTTTCTATGGAAATGAAAAACGATGGAGTTTTATAAAATACTGTGTAGAGTTTTTAAATTATCGTAAAATTTTTTTTTCAGTTTTCCGAAAACCATCTAATATTTACTTTAGTTTTCTCAAACAGAAAGCGTATTTCATAATACGGAAAAGGGGTTTTCTTCTGGTTTAAAAAACCGAAAGTTAGAAATGCGTTTTTTCTTTGAAACTATTCTACAGGCAGACTCTTTTTAGCACTACTATTTCAAATTAAAATTGATCAAGCATGATATGTTAGAGGTAGTTAAAAAAGGATGTCCTCATCTACACCATTTGGTCCAGAGCTCTACCATTTTCTGTTAACGTAAGAGAAGACAAAAATGGCGTAAAATTCTGTGATTCGTTTTTTTATTTTTCATTTTCTGCTACTTGTCTTCAGATTCCATTTTTATTTATTTATTTATTCTGCTTTACGATCCACAAGCTGTGTGAAATAATTCGTTTTGCTTGAAAAAAAAGCGTTATTTTAATTTGTGTTCTTTTGATCAGTTGTAATCAGAAATTTGCGCGCTACAATCCTGTATTGTTAAAAAACGCTTGGGTTATTTTTTGGAGTTTCTGAAAAACTGGTTTTCGAGAAGACTGGATCTTCGAAGAGCTATGGGAAAGTCCCATGGTCATATTCAGAATCAGCATGGTCGATAACCTATAACCCACTACACTCTAAAAAAAGAAGGTATTTCAAAAAACCTTAAAAAGTATTCTCCATTCGAGAAAAACCAAAAAAAAGGTATAACCACACGTGAAAAACGTTTAAAGGGTTTAACCATTTGAAACATATCATAACTGTTTAAAAGTTTCTTATTCTTATCAAAAAACTAATTTTCGTTTTCTAAAATACGGCTAAATTATGTTCTGAAAAACGGTTGAGGTTTCTTCACGTCACAAAAAAACCTTTCAGATATTTTAAAATACCAAAGCAATTCAGGATTTTTTAAATCACGGCATTTTCATATCCTAAAAATCCCAAAGGAGTTTTCTGACAAAAGTAAAAAACGCTTAAACAGTTATGATATGGTTCAAATGGTTATACCATTTTTCGTATTTTATAATACCTTTATTTTTTAGAGAATAGATGTCG